TTTTGCAGGTTATCTGGGGTCTTAATCATCTTCTCCTTCATCATCTGTTTCTCTCTTCCTCTTCTCACCTTTTCCGCTTTCTTCCTCCTCTGTACAAATAACAAAAACTGACTTTCAGACAAAAGGTGTTTTTTTTCTAAGACAGTGTTTCTGGATACAACACTATTTTGGTTAGGAGATACAAACAAGTAGATTAAAGATAGGCTTTCCAGGCCAAGGATATAACTCAGTGGCATAAATGTCTGCCTTGCAAGCTCAAGGTCCTGACTTTGACCCCAAAAAGCAGGGAGGGCAGTTGAATTTCTGTAAAATTTAAGTTCTTATAATATTTGAGACTGAGGAAGACAGATACCTGTTTTATTAACTATAAACTCAGCTACTTCAGTGAAATTAAAAATTTTAAAATAATTTTATTTATTTCGTCCAGGTCTCACTATGCAGCTCGGACTTGTAGTGATCCTGTCTCAGCTTCCCCAGCACTGAAATTACAGGTGTGCCCTGCCACCATGCCTGGTTTCAGTAGCCAGCACAGTGCACTCTTGGTTCTGGGGCAGTACCAGGGATCAAACCTGGATCTTTGTGCTTGCCAGGTAGGCACTTAGACTGCCAAGTAATCTCCCCCATATTAATTCTTATTTAAAAACCTCTTGGTCGGTGACCAGGTCCTGCCCAATGCAACACCTGGTGGTCCAGTGTTTGGCACAGAGTGGACAATGAAGTCTAAACCAGTGCAAAGCACAGCAGCAATTGGTTCTCTGAAGACCTAAACCACTAGGTACTCTCAATGCATGGTAGATAAATAATAACCATTTCACTCTTCTTGGTTGTAGTGGGGAAAAAGGTAATACCCATGAAACTAGAAAGTTACTTATACATCCTGGTAAACTACAACTCAAGACAGTTTAAGATGCTTTCATGAAAGAATCCAACACAGACATCTCATAGTTGGCAATAAACCAAGAGATGAGAAACTAACCACCACCTGAAACATGCAGACCAAGGACTAGCCAGACTTCAGGCCCTCAAGCACCAGCACTCTTGTAGCAGGACTGGGAAAGCTACATCAGCTTAGATGTGCTAACAGAACCACAAGGAATACGGGCAAAAGTCATTTTAACTATCTTCTCAGCAATATGATATTCTAAATAGAGAACCTTTCCATATAACTCTGTTTTGAGTTAGGATCTTATCTGCAGTGCAGACTGGCCTAAACTACGTAGTTCAGGCTGACCTCACACTCACAATTTATCTGCCTGCCTTGGCCTCCCCACACTGCTGGTATTACAGGGGTGTGCTAGTGTGCTGGTTTTTGTAACTTTTTTTCCTTGTATTTTTTAGGGAAGGGCCTACATGGTATTCAGGGTCTCACTAACAGACTGGACTTGTACTGATCCGCCTGTTTACAGCCTCCCAAGAGTTGGGATTACAGGCGTACGCCACCACAGCCAGTCTCAATTGCCATCTCAGAGAGCCCAAGGGGCGGGGCTGGCCCAGCAGGCCCAGGGATTGAGCCCCTGATCCTTGTGCCTGCTTGCAGGTGCTTTAATCCACTGAGCTATTTGGCCAGCCGGCTTTTGTAACTTTTAAGATCTAAAATTCTTTTCAACCCACCTTCATCTTCATCTTCATCCTCATCCTCCTCTTCTTCATCAATTTCTCCATCATGTCCAAATTCTTCTTCCTGAAGTATGGTAAACAACATAACACTGTAAGACTAATTCTGCCAAAGTGAAAAGTATAAAAAGATGTATTTTGGGGCCGGGGAGATGGCTCAGTAGAATAAGCGCTTCCCTGGCAAGCGCAAGGGTGTGAGTTCAATCCCTGGTTCCACCAAAAAAAAAAAAAAAAAATGTATTTTGTAAATACACATCACTTTTCAGGGGCAGTACTAAGGATTAAACCCAGGGCCTCCTCAGTCTATGCAATGCTATGCCACTGAGGTACATCTCCAGCAGCAAACATCTAAAAATGAATCAAGAAGCAAACAGTAATGTTTTATTTACTTTCTAATTTGCTATGCTGAAGAGGTGATTTTCCTTAATGGGTATCCTGAATTTTTTTTATTTAGAAGTGACCTATTTATCAGCTATTTACAGTTTTTCTATCCTACTGAATGTCCAACTGATTCCTTCCCCTCAAAGTCAAAGGGCCAGAACCTACCTTGCAGAGCTGAGCAGTGGGTCTAGTTAGGAGTCAGTAAGTGCATCATCTGACATTTAGAGGGGTTGAATACTTACTATCCATGTCCCTACCCCTTGGAAAGCTTTGCACACTGCCCGGTGACACCTGCACCAACTTGTAGATTATATATCTAACTTTAAGCTTGGAAATAGATGGTAAGAAAAAGGAGGCAAGACATTTAAGAAGAAAATTGGCACGATGGCAATAAAATAAGTGAAAATGGTAAAACATAACTACAGTTTATAGAGAAGATACTACGAATTTTAAACAGTATGTTTTGAGCTCATAATTTTTGAAGGTGGGCCAGCAAGACAGCTCAGCGGACTAAATGCCTGCTTAGGCAAGTGCAGGGACCAGGGTTCGATCCCCAGAACTACAGGTTACACCAGCCCCGCCCTTGGGAACTCTGAGCCAGAGACTTAGTCCAGGCATGGTGGTGTATGCCTGTAATCCCAGTGCCAGGGAGGCTGAAAACAGGAGAGTCACTCTGAGTCTGAGCTGTATAGTAAGACCCTATACCAAATATATTTTTTTTAAAAAAATAATACAGGGCCAGGGAGATGGCTCAGTGGAATAAGCGCTTCCCTGGCAAGCACAAGGATGCAAGTTCAATCCCCAGTTCCACCAAAAAAAAAATAAATAAATAAATAATAATAATAATAATAATACTTTTTTTGAAGGGTTGAAGACATAGCTCAGGAGTGACACACTAGCCTGACCTGTGTGATGTCCAAGCACCCCCCCCCCACTAGCGCCACAGATCACCCAACGGGCACCGACCTCACTCACTTCATCTTCATCTTCATCCCCATCCACGTCTTCATCCTCATCCTCATCCTCTTCATCATCAAAGTCCTCCTCCTCACCATCCTCATCTTCCTCGTCCTCCTCATCTTCTCCTTCTGAAAGAGTCCAAAATAGAACTCATGAAATAGCCTTGACACCTAGACTGTGGGCTGCACCTGGAAGAATCACACGGGAGCTACAGACTGCCCTTAGAACAAGGGCTCAGCAGCAACTCGCACCAGTAACCCCGTCATCCAACAGTACCATAAAATCAGGAGGCTTGAAGTCCTGGCAGATTAGATGTACGGTACCATTTCAACTGACGAAATAATGAAACGCCCAGGATTTGCTTCAAAGTAACACAGGAAAGGGACATGGGAAGGACGATGCATATCCAACAAGATCAGTCATGAGTGATGGGAACATAAGGGTTTGTTTTACTATTTCTACCTTAGTCAATGTCTGAAGATTTGTACCATAAAAAGTAAAAACAAACAAACAAAAAAAACAAAAAAAAAAAAAAAAAAAACCTGTTTTCTTCTGAGAAACAGTCAGAGCCAGCAGTTCTGATCATGCACTTAGAAAGTAACGCCAGAATCTGTTGTGCCCTGTTCACAGTGCAGTTTGGGCCTCTTCCCCACTGCTATGGACCTCTGGTGGGCCATCAGCTCCTCTGCACTGGCATCAGCACTCACTGTGCTACCTCCTGCCTCCTGCACTTGTCCTTTCTCTCATTTGCCCAGCTCTGACCAGTTCTAAAGAAAGATCAGGCAGGCTTGTTAGATCTTCTTATCTAGGCTAGGGGCTCTTTTATCTTTTTACACAGGGACCTGGGGCTTCTCTATTAATTGTATAATAAAGTGCCTGCTTAGGCAGAGCGCAGAAGCCAGGTTTGATTTCTGGAGTGCTCTGAGAGTGCCAGTGCTGGGGCCAGTGCCAATGTCAATTCTGTCCCCAGGGCACGTTGAGACAGTGATTGAGAATGGGCGTGGTGGTGCACACATGTAATCCCAGAGCTTGGGAATCTGAGAACAGGAGAATCACTATAAATCTGATCTACATAGTGAGACCTTGTAGACCCTGTTCTAAATACACTAAAAAAAAAAAAAAAAAAAAAATCATGTATGTTACAAGTGGACAGAAATCATGTCCTTTTTCTGTTTATCACTGTGAGGAAACCAGTATTAGTTGCCTGAGTGATCCTTGTGCTCAGGAACTGGTCCCCTCTCCAAGGAGTTTTTACCAGGTCAAGACAAACTTAAGATAACAAGCAGTTTTTAGGAATAACTGAAATTTAATTTTTGCCTGACTCAGCCTGCTACAAAAAAAACCCCTAAAAATGTTTCCAGATCCTGTAGCACTCATTGCAGTGAAACAACCTGATGTATTTCCTCATCATTTTTCTTAGCTATTTCTACCTTTGGCATTGTTATCTTGTGCCTGTAATCTGGAGGCAAGAGAATCATCTGTGAGTTCAAGTCTTGCTTGGACTATATAGTAGGACTGTCTCAAAAACAAAAAAGGGCAAGACATTCAAAACAGAGCTTCAAATATAACAATGGTAAGCAAGTCCCAACAGTATCAAGAATTTTGTTTCATTTTTTTCAGACAGGGTCTCTTTATGTAGCTCAGTCTGGCAAAGATATAAATAAGACTGTGATTCGGTAAGAGAATCACAGGTAGTTTTTATGTGTTGGATGGAAGAGCTCACAACTCCCAATTTAAGGACCTTTGCTAAACAACCATTTTGAGTCAATAGAACATGTGATTCTCCTGCCTCTGCAGTGCCAGGATTATAGGCATGTTCTTTCTATCATACTGCCTAGTAGGATCAGGAATTACAAGACCAAGTCTCTTCATGCTAACTGATGCAAAAACAAATCCCACTGCTTCTACTATGCAAACCTTTTTGCACTACTGCCCTGCCAACATCAGTAGACTTATCAATCTGGACTGTGTGCCACAATCCCAACAATCGTGCCTCAATATCCTGGGCCATTTCATCAACTGCCTAGTGATAGTGCTAAGGAAGTGCTAACCATGATCTTTCCTAAATAGTACAGATGTTTGGAGCAGCAAGCAGGATCATTTCCTCACCAACAGAGATGGGCTTCTTATAGCTTTAGCAATGCAGTTAGCCATTAAAAATGATGCTCTTAGTGCAGACAAATTTCATGAAGTTGTGTTGTAGTGTTTAGTAGCTGCTACTACTGTTCTTCGTGTTCACACTTTTTCTTTTAAAAAAACTCTGAAGGATGGTCTTTTAATGTAGGGTGGTAGGTCTGCATGCAATAAAGCAGGGTTTTGTTTTTGTTGCGGAACCGGGGATTGAACTCAGGCCCTTACGCTTGCCAGGGAAGCACTTATTCCACTGAGCCATCCCCCCTCCTTTTTTGGCAGTATGGGGATTAAACTCAGGATCTTGCACTCAGGACCTTGCAGGCAGGTACTTGTACTGCTGAGCTATGTGCCCATAGACCTAGTGAAGCAGTTTTGATAGTTTCATGGCTTTGTTGCAAGGCCTGGAGAATGAAATTACCTGCCACGATTAACCTGTTATTTAAGTAAAACTCCTGGTATTTTCTTTTAAAATTAGATTTTTGTTTTTGTTGTTTTTTTTTCCTTTGTTAATAGCATGAAGTGTTTTCTGTTTTCTCACCTTTGGGTTTCCGACTTTCCAAAGCTCTCCAGTAATATTTTTCACTCACTATGGCCAGAATTGGGTTGTGAGCTCAACAAAACTGTGATTCAGGTAAGGATGCAGTGTAGGGTAAGGGTACCAGACACAGTTTAATTGTCACTTGCCACTCACTAATGAGTTTTTTTGTTTTGTTTTTAATATTTATTTATTTATTTGTGTGTGTGGCCAGCTCAGCCCACCAGGGGGCGGGGCTGGCTGGCATGTGGTGCTGGGGGATTGAACCGCGGTCCCTTGTGCTTAAGCTTGTTATAAGTAGGTGCTTTAGACCACTGAGCCATCTCACCAGCCCACTAATGAGTTTTTAATAAAAATCTGCAAGCAACTAATTATGGTCTCTGTACAATTAAACCCATCTGCTAATGCTAATCTGCATTCCGAGTCACTCCTTAGCTCCACTCATATCATCACTAGCTTCTCCTAACAAGTAAGTAATCCCTTGTGAGCAGTTATAGATCAGATCTGTTACAGCTAGGTGGGGACTCCTGTTCCAACCACTTGAAAATAAGAAACCTTTCATTCCTAAGAGTGCCACCGAATAAACAAGACAGTGTGCAAGAACAAAAGTTAATCAGGTGGAATATTTTAAGTAGAAAATACAAGAAATACTTCATATGTTTAATTGTTTTAATTTCATTTTATAACCAAAGATTACTTCTCTTTTATGTATTTAGTACAGGGTCTACAGGGTCTCACTACGTAGATCTGACTCACGGTGATTCTCCAGTTTTCAGCCTCCGAAAACACTGGGATTACAGGCACAGGCCACCATGGCAAATCAGGGACTGAACCCCAGCAGCTGCGCTCTGCCTAAGCAGGCGCTTTAGTCTGACCTATCTGGCCAGCCCAAAGATTACTCTTCTTATTAATGGAACATGGAATCTTATATAGAGAACTTTAAAACCATTTACTTTCTTAAACTCTAGTGGTGCATCAAAAGCAGGAGAAGTTATTTTCTTTCTTTTTTTTTTTTGGTACTGCAGATCAAACTCAAGATCTTTCCAAACAGGGGTTTATGCCACTGAGCTATCTCCCTGGACCTTCATTTCTATTTAGTTATAGTAAATATACAAGAATACTGTATCTACCAAGTAGTTCAGAGGTTTGGGAATTACTCTAAGCAGGTGCTAACACAGTTGGGTGTTGAAGGATGAGCAGGCAGTAATCCAGAGGGTAGCTGGGACAAAGGGATAGAAACACTTTAAGCAATTCAATGGTGTGTGGAGCAGTTAATCTTTAAGTTTCGCTTGTCAACAATTTTTTTTTTATTCTGAATGATTAAGGCTTCTTCTACTATGTCACAAGGACTTACCAGAATTCAAAATGTCTCAATCTCACAGAATGCCTACATCCACCGATACGAATTACTTACCTCAACCACAAAAACATTCAGCTTTTCTCAGAACCTCAGAAACACAGAAGTCTCATTACTTAGTGCCAAACCCACTCACCTTCATCCTCCTCCTCTTCATCTACACCATCCACCTCTGCATCTGAATCTGGGGCTTCCCGGTCCTCTCTATCATAGCCATCCAGGTAGCTTAGTTGGGGCAAGAGCTTGAAGACACTCTCTCGGTAGTCATTCAGGTCGGTGACCTCACAATTAAACAGATCCAGGCTTTTCAGACAATCCAATTTTTTCTGAAGGAAACATTAAAAAGAAAACCACACAACTCCTAAACCAAAGAAGCACAAGTAACACAAACCATCTGAAGTGGTTAAATTCTAGACTTGCCATTTAGTTGGGTGCTACCTACTTAAGACATACATAGGGAAACACTAGTCCTGTATCATTTTTAGGCCTTAGTTTTTCCTACACTATTCTAAGAACTGTCTTAGCTGGGTGTGGCGCATGCCTGTAATCCTAGCAACTGAGGCTGAGGCAGGAGAATCTGTATGAATTAAGAGACCAGCCTAGACTACAAAGTGAGATCTAGGCCAGCGTGAACTGCATAGAGTTCCTGTCTCACAAAGAAAAAAACAAAACTATCTTTTTTGTGCAGCATTAGGAGTCTAAAAGTAAATCTGAAATATTTTTTACTAAAATCAAATCTCTTCAAGAATGAGACAGTTCAAATTTTTAGTTCAAACCATAGTATAGGGAAACAGATTTTTAAATCTTGAATCTCAATGCACTTATAAAACTACTCGAGGACAGAGACAGGAACACTACAGAGGACGCACTGTAACAAAATACCAGCTGTATTTATGCAGATGTATTTTCAGGGAAGACAGGCAAACATTAATATGGGCAGCAGAGGGGAAGGAAGAGGAACCACATAGTTGAAATTTCAAAATACAGAGAAAAATTACTCTTTTTTATGTTCTAGGAAATACTATTACCACCAGATTTTTCAAATATAAATTATTTGATTTTGCCAGACCTTGAAGTTCTGCTGCAATATTGTATTAGTTTGGAAATACCAGTATCATTTAATGTAAAAAACTGGGCCAAGGAAAGTTTTTTGAGTAGACAGAAA